TTAAAGTAAAAAAAATATAATAGCATAAAATACAAAATAATCGAATTATTATAATATGTATGTATGTATGTATACCAAACTAACACCGTTTAAGAAATTGTATGCATGAAMATTCTTTGAGAAGGGTTGCCACCTATTTACCACTTAATTTTAATTGCCTAAAATTTAAAAAATTAATTCARTTTTAATTAGGAATTTATTAACACAAAAAATTAGATTCGAGAATGTTTTCAGAAGTGTTGCCACCAGTATAATATAAGTTAAAATATATTAAAGAAAAATACTAGGCATCGAATTACTACAAGATGGATACCAAACTAAAGTTAAAAATGTATGCATGAACATTTTTTGAGTCCATCTGTTTAAATTTTTTTATTGCCTAAAATTGCAAAAATAAATTAAATTTAAATTAAGAATTTATTAACATAAAAAATTTGATTCTAAGAGATTTTAAGTAAAAAATGATTYGATAAGTGTTGCCACCTGTTTAAAAATATATTAAAGTAAAATAAAAAAGCATCGAATTATTACAATACGGATATAAAATGAAAACAGTTTATGAAAATTTAATTATGGACATTTTTAGAGGAGGGTTGCCACCTCTTTAAAAATTTTAATTGCTTCAAATTTATTAAATAAGTTAAGCGTAAAATAGGACATAAAAATAACCGGTTTGAACAAACTGAAGTTTACAAATATTTTGAGAAGGGCTGCCACCAATTTGTAATATATAATTCAGTAAAACATAGAATAAATGAATTGTTACCAATAAACTGATTAGTCTTACTAATTTAAAAATGTTTTCTACTTTTTCCCACAGCGCTCAGTAGAAGCCGCAACAGGTCGTGTAGATTTCAACGAACATGGCGAGCGTAACTTTTTCACGTTACGCTTCATGGAGTTAACTACCACCGGTTTTCTTGACTTGGCCACTTGGGATCCAGTGAACGGTGTTGATTCACTCGAAAAAGAGGATGCCAGTGAAAAGCGTGTGGGTGAGAAACTTGCTAATAAAACAATGATAATCACTTCGCGTATTGGTGCGCCATTCTTATTAAATAGGTAAGTGTTAAAGTTTTCAGTGGCCGAATTATTACTATAAATCAGTATTAACTGATTTCAGAGAACCAAAAGACGGTGAAATACTACAAGGCAATGCACGTTATGAAGGCTATTCAATGGACTTAATAGATGCCATAGCMAGATTGTTGAACTTCAAATATGAATTCGTATTGGCGCCCGATGGAAAATATGGCAGCTTTAACAAATTAACGCAATCATGGGATGGTCTAGTTAAGCAGCTGCTAGATGGAGTGAGTAACATCGCCTCGAGAAAGCGACTTAAACTTTTTTTTTTTCAACATTACACTCCTACAGAACGCCGATCTTGGTATTTGCGATCTCACTATGACTTCCGCACGTCGCCAAGCTGTTGACTTCACGCCACCCTTCATGACATTGGGCATCAGCATACTCTATGCGAAGCCCGAACAGCCACCACCGGATCTTTTCTCTTTCCTTTCGCCATTTTCTTTAGATGTATGGCTATATATGGCTACTGCATATTTGGGTGTTTCGCTACTGATTTTCGGTCTTTCGCGTATGGCACCAGCGGACTGGGAAAACCCACATCCCTGTAAGGAACCCGAAGAAGTAGAGAATCCTTGGTGCATGTCCAATACGACTTGGTTAGCAGTCGGTTCCATTATGGGACAAGGTTGCGATATATTACCTAAGTAAGTGCTGTCAATGAAGATTTTCATTGTTAGCAATATATTACCGCTGAACTTAATGAGATGTCTGAAACTATGATCTTCTAAGAAGTAAACATACATTAAATCCAACCTAAAATACCAAAGGCTTTTAATAAATCTTATACTTTTTGTATAATGTCATCTTAGAGCTGCTTCGACGCGTCTCGTTACCGGCATGTGGTGGTTCTTTGCCTTGATGATGTTGAACTCTTATACGGCCAACTTAGCCGCCTTTCTGACAATGTCTAGGGTAATGAAATGGCAATACTAATTGTTTTGAGTTGAGTGAAAGCCGCATATTATTTTCTTTCTAGATGGAAAGTTCAATTGAGAGTGCTGAAGATTTGGCGGCCCAAAGTAAAATCAAATATGGCGCTTTACTAGGCGGCAGCACAATGGGTTTCTTTCGCGTAAGTGTGCGAGCTTTTATGCTTAAATATTTAGCTAGAGCTTTCAAGCTTTCGGTTTAATTTTTAATTTACACGAGCTAAAGCTTTCATTTTACTGTTTGCAATAGTACGAGTGTTACTAAGCTTTAACTTTACTTATTATCATTTTTGCATGAGCTTTAAAGCTTTCATATTTTATTAATGCTAATCACTTACTTTAAGACATTATTGCACAAGCCTTAAAGCTTTCATATTTAGCTAAAACTTTCACTTTACTGTTAAACATTTTTGTACGATCTTGTGAGTTTTCATATTTAGATAAAGCTTTAACTTTTTTTTTGTCATTATTGCACAAGCTTTAAAACCTTTATATTTATCTAAAGCTTTCACTTTACTTTTTATCAATTTTACACGAACTTTAAAGCTTTCATATTCGACTAAAGCTTAAAATTTTCCTTTTTTTCATTATTGCACATGCTTTAAAGTTTTCATATTTATCTAAAGCTTTCATTTTAYTTTTTGTCATTATTGCACWAGCTTTAAAACTTTTATAGTATATTTATATAAAGCTTTCACTTTACTTKTTATCATTTTTGCTCGAGCTYTCAAGCTTATATATTTAAATCTAGAGCCGTTTCACTTTAGCTTTCGTTTTTATTTTTTTCCACGAACTTACATATCTAGCTAAAGCTTTCACTTTCCTCTTTTTTCAAACAGGACTCAAATTTCTCCACATATCAACGCATGTGGACCGCCATGGAAACGGCGCGTCCATCGGTATTCACCAAAAACAATGATGAGGGCGTAGATCGCGTACTTAAGGGCAAAGGACTTTACGCTTTTCTCATGGAGTCCACCACATTGGAGTATATAATCGAACGTAATTGCGATCTGATGCAAGTCGGCGGCTGGTTAGATTACAAAACGTATGGCATTGCAATGCCGTTTAGTAAGTGTATMCAAAAATGTTTTTTAGTTTTAAAAACCTACSCATTTATTCTTCTTTYTCTCACAGACTCTCCCTACCGCAARCAGATCAGCGGTGCCGTTTTGAAGCTTGGCGAATCTGGTATGCTCTCGGAGTTGAAGCGTAAGTGGTGGAAAGAGATGCATGGTGGTGGTTCCTGCTCGCAAGCGGAGAGTAGCGGCGGTGATACTCCTGAATTAGATTTGGAAAATGTTGGCGGTGTGTTTCTTGTTTTAGGCATTGGATTGCTCACCGCTATTCTAATTGGTATGTGCGAGTTTTTGTGGAATATTAAAGCGGTGGCTATAGAAGAGAAGGTATTTGCTTTTGYTTGATTTTGTTTAATAATTAATATCGCCTTTCATATTCATTCACAGATTTCTCTCTCAGAAGCCTTCAAAGCTGAACTCATGTTTGCGCTACGCTTTTGGATACAAACAAAGCCGGTACACACAGCTTCTAGCAGTGGTGGTTCTTCATCATCCTCCTCTTCATCTTCAAAGTTGTCCAAATCTAGTAAGTCTTCGTCTTYCTCATCATCCAGCTCAACGAAACGTTCGAAACGATCATCGAAATCTTATGCACGCTCAATTTCGCAAAGCACCAAAAGCATCATAAATGGCACACACGATCTGGAGAAGAATGATTTGTCGGTACATGATAAACTGCGTAAGATTAGCTCTATGTTTTCACTAAAATCTGCACCATCCGTACCATCTGTCGCCAATGTTCACTTGGAGCCACCGCCAGCATTAAAACATAACTCTCAGCCTAATCATCACCATGCAGTTGATAAGCATACACAAATGGTTCGGGAAGTGGCTCAACAGACAACACTAACCTCAGATGATCGAAGTGATTGTGACGAGGTTGAAGCACAACAGCCGGAAATCGATGAAATACCAATTACGCAAACGCACCAACATCACAATCATCATCATCATCATCACCACCACCACCATCACAAACATCACGATCATAATCATCACCAGCAACTGGATGATCAACAACCGGCCATGCAGCTGGTCGAACGCACTCCAAATGGCAAAGTGGCACGAAATGGTCATGTCAGTGTTGGCAGTGCAGAGGTTTGAAGCTAAATTTCAATTCCCTTTCAATTTGATATTTATATGCTACATATAAGCAGCAGTACATATGTATCTACCTCTATCCCCCTTCCAGAAATATATAAGATCTACTAATAGTTCAATCCAATTATATTGTCTAAAACAAGTGTAAATATTATACATGTACTCTGTATTATCCCGGTAAACAAATACATATATTGCTTTTTCAAAGATGAACCTTCAGAGTTCAAACATTTCTACTTTCGAAAGAAACCGGTTCGAAACATATGTGAATATGGTGGTTTATTACGTGTAGGTACATTTTTTCTGAAAACTAAAACATTTCCGTTTTTCACGTGGAGTCTTAAAACAGTTTTTCAAATAATTTTCAACGGTGTCGGGCGATATCTGGAGAAAGCTGGGGTCGAATCATTACATCCGTGAACGTATCACTCGTCACGTAAAAGTCTGTATTTCGTATTATGACACACGTGATCGTAACGCTTAAATCGTAATCTGGCATGATGACGTAAGTGAGCGAGTATATAAACGTATCCGTTCGTTCGAACCGTCATTCGAACGCAAACTACCGATCGTAACAAACGAATTTATTTAAAAATGTGAGTGTATTGTAAATAATTTATAATTTTAGAAAATTTTTAATAATAAATCTATTTTAGGACAAATTATAATAAACTAAATCCTACACAAAAAGATGTAATGGCGGAATTCATGTCAAGTCATCCATGCTTGGCAAAAAATAACTTTCCAAACTCTGCGCAAGGAAGAATTACTTTCAATAAATTATGGGAGGAACTGGCGAAGCAGCTTAATGCCATGGGGCCACCAATTAAAGATGCTAAGTTGTAGAGGAAGGTATGTATATAATTTATATGCAATATACTTTGATAAAATATAAATTTTTTATGATTTTTTTAGGTTTTTGCTGATCGAAAATACCAAGCAAAAAAGAAGCTTTCCTTCAAGCATCGAAGCAGCGAAGTGGAGGAGGTTAATCGAAGCAGCTGGACTCAAAGCTTGCGTAGAGGGCATAACAAATGTTTCTGCATTTGGAAATAACCCAACTACGCAAGCTTCGACATTTACCGTTAACTGTGACAGCTGTGATGAGGAGGCAAACCCTTTCCCCAGCTCCTTACCAGTCCCAACAACTTCTAAACAGTCGCTACTCGCTACAACAACAACAACGTCAACAGAAAAAACTCCAAGCACTTTGAGAAGAAAAAGTAGGAGTGACGAAAAGTTGGAGTTACTTCAACAAAACATGAAATCGCTCTCAGCTTTTCAAAAAGGCATAGACCAGAAGCTTAAGAGGTTAGTAGCAGCACAAGAAAAAATGCTGGCACTACAGGAAAAAATGGTTGCTATGAAGATGGAAAAGCACCGCATCCAACAGTCGACACGGGAATTAGACCACGAAATAAACAAATTGGAGCTCGAAACCTTACGAAGAAGTTTATTTTAAAACTTGGTACATGAATGTAAATATTTTTAGTTTAAGCATTTAATGAACTTTTAGTTTAACCATTTAATGAGCTTTTTTAGTTTAAGAGAGCTTTATTTATTTTTGAATATTATTTATGTAAAATTTTAGAAATGTGATAAAAGCAACAAACGTGATGAAACGACTATTTAAAATAAAAATAATGAATTTTTATGAACAAAATTTTTGTATTTCGATTTAGAAGGAAAAAAAAATATATACAAGGGTAACGACATAGACATTTTCATCTTCAATTTATTAAACAGTGCTTTATTTGATCTCTTATTGTTTGGCCGATTGCGGTGAGGCGGTTCGCATCCCCATCACTCTCACTAGAGCTCAAATAAAAAAACAAAGTCGGATCCATCTTGATATTCAACCATTTGATATTTAAACAAACAAATTGATTGAATATTTTGCAACAGTTTTGACAGTTCCACAGCTATTGTGACATAAAAATACGATCCAAAGGAATGTGGAATTTAAAATCTATTGTGAATTGAAAAGACATTACGATACTTTTGCTTTCGTTTGTCATAATGCCAATCATCGCATACGATTGACGTATCACGTAATTTTCTTTCGTATGTTTGCCGATTCGTGCACGGATGTAACAATTCGACCCCTGTCTTCATCCATCTGGCACACTTTTTTCTGATATTTAACAACACGAGAACGATATCTTTTATCACATTAACGTATATGGTGGCTCATCGAGAACCGATGTGAGTCTACAATGAAACTCGTTAACATCAAATGAGAGGAGTCATCGTTTACAGCAGCTTAGCACTCTTCCTATCACAGCGCGATTCCTCTTCCAAAATCAAGAACCAAATCACCGACGGTTCACAAGATAGGAAATATTTCTTTCGATACTCGAAAAAATATCGAACAAAGGATTTGTATCGAGTTTTATATCTCTAAAAAAAATCTCGTGTGCGAAATCGTTGCGAATATTTAAAAGGCCCGTAAGCCTTTTATCAAAAACACAAGCCTACGAGTGGAACAAAGCCTCGAGACTCGTCTCGATAAAGCTGATTTTTTTTTTCAAAAAGATTACGAATTTAAATCCAAAAACGCTATAAATACCATCGATCAATCACCGTATTCACCAGATTTCTATAAACTGAAATTGCCGCTGTGTGGAACGCGTTTTCAGTCGGTAGAAGAGATAAAACAAAATTCGCTAAAACCCAAAAAGTGCTTATGAAAGTTTTTCGAGAACTGGAAAAATCGTTGGCATGAGTGTATTACATCTGGTTGGGATTACTTTTAAGGCGACAAAATAAATATTGATGAATAATTAAATATTTTTCATTTATTTACAATTCTCATTTAGCAAAGGTACAAATTTTTAATGTAACAATACCAGGATATAAATTGAGTTTGAAGTCATCCGTCCCCACGAAAATGGATGCTAAGTGACACGAAATGGAATATTTAAGAATGTCAACTAGGCGACATTCATCCAAATGATTTCGGGATTATTTTACGCATATGGAACTCCAATCCAGATGAAGCAAATATTCGAACTGAGCGGAACCCATCTCCCTAATTTGAATGTAGTTGAACCTTACGGAAATAATATTTTTCCGCAAAACTGAGTTCTCAGAACTTTACATATTAGTTTTATAAAAGCCTGTTTGACTGAGTTGTTGGTTGGCTAAAATTCTTTAGATTATTCCCGTACCAATGAACAACATTTGAATAATCAGACCTGAAGACTTTTTAATGTGTAATTACGATCGAAAACCTGTCGTTTCTCAGGTGTGTTTTTGACGTGGCGGATTACAAACTCTGCGCACAACCCTGGGGAGAAATGTTTCGCCTCCTCACTTTAGCTCGCCTTCAAACGGAGGTTTTTTGGCTACGCAGTGGATAAATGTTATAAGACCTGAATTAGTGAGCTGCTTGAACCATATAGCGTTCAAAGAACTTTCTTCAATTGCGTCAACTTCTACACATGACTCCATTTTCCCTGCACTGTTTACTACGCTAAAATTATTCTTTGGTAACTGGGCAACTTAACTGCATTACATTTGGCAATACGTAGTTATTCAATATAACTCCATAGGGCTTCTCTATACCTGTCATTGTCGCTTGAATGATTCTGGCTGAGTTTGCTCACATATACATATGTAGAGGTAGTATCGTCTTCCCCAACACTAAAGCTTTTTTCCATTAACGTCTGGACGGACGGATGGATAAAGAGAATCTACGAAAAGATGCGGCAGTAACATAAGGTTTCAAGACCGGACCATACTCTTGTAGAAACCCTGGAGCTGATCCAGTGACTGATGCCCCGAGCATACTGAAATTATGGATGGAATACCTCTCTAACCTCCTGAACACTAGAAGATAGTGAACCCGATTCTCCAATAGATGACGATGGTGCAGACGTCCCATACTACACTTGAAATCTCCAATTGGTGTAAAACAGCGAAAAGGGAAAACGACTTTGCGGTGTCTACGCAAATAAAGAAGAAGAATATGTCGTTTACAACAAACTTTGTTCAAAATTTACACTTATACCACAATTTTAACCTTTCATAATATAATGCTTAATAAATGCATGCAGAAGAAATAATTTATCAAATTATTTAAGATCCATAATTTCATGTTACTAGTTGTCCCTATCGTTGTTGCATGCAGTAGACAAGCTTCAAACACAAATTTTGAGGAAAATTATTGCAAATTTTATCGATGAAGTCCTTCAAATCAGCCAGGTTTTGGGGTTTCACTACAGCTACATATGTACATGCATCTTAAGCATTGCCTAAGCATTTTAAATAGGTGACAAGTCAGGGCTTTGAGGAGGTCATTTCAATGCACTCACGTATTCATTTTGTAGTTGTTCTATAGGGACTTTTGCAGTATGAATGGGCGCGTTGTCCTTTTGAAGAAGGAAATCCGGTCGAATTAGTCGATGATATGTGCTCTTTATAAAATGCTTGTCGAAACCTCACGCTAATCGTTTCCCAAAGTCAGCTATTTTATTTGAGATTTGGGTTAGTGTTTATGAAATGCAGATTTTTTACTAAACATTGTTATTTAATTCGTTTCAATTTTTCTAATGACTGCAATCATATTGAAATAATTGCATCGTCTTCGTCGTATTGTTAAGCCACACGAATACACAAACGGCTGGTTGAAATAATAATTTGATATATGTACATACGTAAGTAATATACAGTAAAAGCTCTGTTAAGTGGACACTGACGTTCGCAGCGATTTTGTCCGCCTAAGGGAGATGTCCGCTCAATAGGTCCGCATTGTAAGGAAAATTAAAAAAACAAATATATGTAAAATGTTCCCTCCACTAAGGAAATAAATATGTTAATACATTTCAAAAGATTTTGTAATAATTTTTTAATACCAAAGTAAAATATTCATATATAAGAAATTCAGATTCATATATACATAGTAAATAGGTGATAAACTTAAATGAAAGTAGATCTAATACTACTATTAGTATATATAAAAAATTTAAAAATTAGTTTTGTTGCTGGAAAAATTTACGGCTGGTTGAGTTTTGATTGTTTTAGGTTGTCCACAAGACGAATCTCTGAAGATGTTAGTTGTTGATATGCAACAACATCACTTTTAGCAAACGTTTTCAAGCGAGAAATTTGTTTGAATGCTTCATGGTAATTATTAATTAGATCCGAGTGTTCCACAGTTACCTCCTCATCAAAATCACTTAAATCTTCCCCAGTATTAGTAACGAATTCATAATCAATTTCAATACTGTCATTTTCTGTGAAGGCAACGTTATGACTATTTAAATAATTCTCTAATATGAAGTCACTAAGTTGTATATCAGTGAATATCATCCTGAAGCTCAAACAGTTCGCCATTCGAATTTTGTATAAATCCAGATTTTTGGAAACAGTTTTCTAAGTTTGACGCTTCCATTTTGTCCCTAAGAAGCTTTAACAAAACACAGTATATTTTTTGATAATTCTCATGCGGATTTAGCTGTATATCTTTTATGTGTGGAACACAATGCTAGCGACAGACTGCAGCAGCACGGCAGTGAACTGAAAACGGCGTTGTGAATCCTACTACTTGAACGTTTGTGAGAGGGCAGCAACATAACAATGGCCGGCATGTACACAAAACAACGCAGTTGTCCATTTTGCATGTTCACAATTTCGTTGTGGCCATACTAATACCTTGCACTTCAATGAAATTTTATAATTTTGTTCAAAGTGAAATTTTTTATGCAAAATATAAGAAAATAGGTAAATTTATTTGTTTTAAATTATCAATTGTTATTAYAAATGATGTAACAGAGCTATTTTATGCTTTTTTCTATAAAATAACATCAAGTTTGTTAGAGCTGTGAATAATTTTACATTTTACATATTAGTGGCATAACCACTCTACCTCATCTCTCTATCTTCCATTCTACTGTCTACTCTACTGTCGT